CAGCAGGTAAGGGAACAGGGCCCCTGGGTGCCATGCTAGGGGTACATGCAGTGCCCTGCAGTGTAAACAGAAAGGAAAGTCATTCCAGGCAGCTCAGACTTTAACTTGCATCATTTCACCATCCGTCTGCAGGAGGCGCCATTACTGCCGTGGCCTTGAGGGCTACCTGCGCTGACCTGTCCCTCCCATTGAAGGCCAGTGGAGCCACTCCCTGAATTCAAACCCCCTTCACGTGCAGTGCGTAGGGGAAGGCAGCCAATGGCCTGTCAAGTCTTGGATGGTTTCAGGGCCAGAAAGGGGGCTGGAGAGAGAGGAGGTGGGAGCAGGGTGGGGAGAGGTTGGTGGTCAGATGCAGATGCCATTTGTAAGGGTGTAGGTTACGCAACCATAAATGAGTGTGTGTCTATGGGCCTGACTCTCGCGGCCCCACAGACACTGCAGTGACAGGTCAGGATCAGAATCAGGGCTAGGGAGATGCAGCTGACTGCAGTTCCCAGGCCTGCATCCACGTTGGGCTCCTTTCAGCCCCTGAGTTACTGGGCTACAGCCCCCCTCCCTCCCCATCCCCGGGTGCTGGTGCCAACACCAAGGAGACTCGTGGGGGTGAATTTATCTCCTGAGCCCTCACTGTCCTGTCCTGTTATCTGCTTCCCAGAATAGACACACCCAATTAAACTCTCCCAGCTCACACACGGTCACCGTTACTGTCACCCACTGCCCCTGCATGGAGGCATTTGTTCCCCATCTCCCCACCTTACATGGTTACATCAGGATGATTGTACCCAAAGGGACCTCTTGATTTGTACTGTCTTTTGCCTGTGCTGCTGCCTGAAAGCACAATCACGTGCAATCACGAGCAGGCAGATTTTGAAGACAAGGAACAAAATATGACTCCTTAGTTCTTCCAAGAGGCTAACGCGCCCAGCTACCAAGGACAGCAGGGGTACATCAGGGGGTGTGCTTTGAGTTACTGGCCCCCAGAAGGGGTGCAGCATATATAGTTTAGGGGAATGTGCTTCCTCTTTGATTGTACATTACAAAGCTGCCCCTTATTCCCATGATTAAGTGGCATTGTGCTTTCAGCTGGGGCTGGTCCAGGATTTGCTCCCTGGTTAAGAGGAAGGAGAGTTTTGTGGCTAAAAATCCAGGGAGCAGATCCTCAGCTGCTGTAAACCATCCTCGCTCCATCCATGAAGCTGTGACCATTTTCACCAGATGAGAATCTGACCAGAGGGCCTTTGGATTCAGAAAGAAATGGACATTAATCCGGCGGCTGGGAAAGAATCCCTGTTAGGGGCCATTTCAGCCAAACACAAGCTGTATACAACATGAGCTTAGGGGAAACGCCATACCCCTGCTCTCACATGGGTCCTGAATCTGATGCCACAGGAGGCTCTTGTTAAAATAGGGTTAAGTGCAGCCAGATCATGGTAAAATAGGTCT